AAGTAATTCATTATTTTTGTGTATTTAACCCAAAGAAAAAAGACAAACAGAACCAGACAAAAAAGGCAGTCCTCTTTCTGGGCATGTTATGCCTCTGATATCTATACCAAACAGAGCACAGAGAAAAACCTGTTTACATGCAGGGATGAGTCATGCTCCCAGCTGATGGTTCCAAAACAGGCTCCCAGTAAGGAGAACCTAACCTGCAACTCACAGGAGCCAACCGCAGAGCTTTCACCTGTTAGCAACAGGCAATGGGATCAGGATAAGAGATGAAGAGCAGCAAGACCTGTGCTGACCTCCAGCACTGACATACTGTCCGACTCAGGACAAGCAATTCCTCCGCTTTGGTTTATCCCACCTCCCAGCTGCGAGAAGCTTTTACCTGCCTTGAACTTCAGATGGACAACTATCACTTTGTTACCCTAGCCCTGACAATGAACAAGTTTTATCTTGATCGTGACAACCTAAAATTTAGGATGGCCAAAAAACCCCTCAAACAATTTTAGTAAAAAGCATTCACACAGTCCCTCACGTACACTCATTGCCTATAAACTAACACAGCACGAGAAGACATGATGCAACATCACCAGCCTTACAAAACAGCTGGTACTTAACAGTGGAAAAAAATCCGTAAGCTTCCTTTCTCCCTTCTTCATTCTCAACTTAAGGTATTGCTATAACAATGCACCTTAGTTACAAGGCTGCAGTAGGACACAGCTGTAATATCTCACCTACGACTCTGTACCCATTATGGGTCAGCACACAGAGAAAATGTAATTGCTGCTGCATGCCTGCAGAGCAGGGAAACCACAGCATCGCTAGACTTCTGAAATGTAACATTATGGAAAAAAGAGCCTGGACTTTGTGGCTCATCAAGCAAAAGGCACTGCTGGGGTAACAAACTGATTTTATAAAGCCAAGACACACACACACCACAAAAGCCTACTTTCTGCTTACTTATTATAACTTGGAGCTGTGCAGATATCTAGAGCATAATTCAGAGATTAAAGAAGAAAAGCTAAACAAGCCTTTGCATAAGAAAGCACAGACAACATGACTGAGCCTCCTTCCAAGTTTCACTTAATCCTGTGTTTAAAGTGCTTTTAATAGTGTTCTTTGATAGCCTCCAAATGGACCTTAGGAAGGTAAGAATAGAGAACAGAGAGAATAGCAAGTGATACAGAAAAAGCAAATTAGAGTCCATCAAAGGACTCATTATTTAGAACAGCAATTGCTGCACTGAGTTCTGGACAACCACATATGAACATTCACATACAAAACAGATGAAGGATGTGGCTGAAGTTTTGCTTTCCTTACACAAAATGTCATTTGTTACAGTTTCTCTGTAACTTCACCAGAACAAGGCAGACCATTTCTTTGTCAATTGCCAATCTTGGATCAATCATTTTGCACGCCACACGTAGTCAGGCAGGAGGGAAGACTGCTCCATCCCATTCGTGCTCCGCTTTCAAGGTAGGAACAAGACAGACAGACAGAAAGGTGAAAAGCAATGATACGGGCAGAGCTCAGACATGGGTGAATGCTACCTAAGCCACCTAATGCTACACACTCCATCCCTACTGCTGCCTATACGCTTTCAGAGTTCAGCACTGAGGCTGATAGCAGCTTAGCAGAAGCTCTGCAAGGTTGTAACACTAAGAATCAGCACAGAAAGCAGCTACAGAAGTATTCCTCGTGGCAGCAGGGCAATCGAAGCAGCAGCTCAGCAAGCAGCTCATGGTGCAGCCCCACAGCCCTGGAGCACAGCTGCCTGCAGAGGGCAGGGGGCAAGGAGCAAACGCAGTGTCAGGCAGGATTCTCCCCCTCCTCAACTGAAATAAATCACTTCTCAGCAAGTAGCAAGCCTCAGCCTCCTTAACCCCCCCCCTCCTCCCCCCCCAGGATTAAAGGCAGACTTAAAGGAATGTTTACTAACAGACTGCTCTCTCCCTCAGCCATTCCTAATAAGTATGAGCTAACCACATTCTGCAGATATGCTAGGGATGCCCTTGATTCAAAAAGTATTCCTAAGCAAAAGGATACCTGTAAGGACAATCAAAAAGCTTGCTAGATGTAGGATATAGTGTTCATTTTGTTTCTACCCAGTTTGCTGGCCACTAGAAGAGCGCCTGTGGCATAAGAGCATCTTTCTTTGAAACATCTACCAACAGCCTTTCGCCACTCTGTAGAACAGGATGAACTGGGCTTCAGTGTCTCAAGTCTTCCACGCAATAACAGGAGGCAGGACAGATGTTCCAACAGACAGCTTTCAGTTTGCTCACTAAGCAAAGCCAAATCCCTGTGGGATTCCTACTGAAATTTCAGGAAGTGGTGATGTTTTATCCCAGCACCAAGTATGCTTCTGAAGATTTCATTTGCCTGCTACATGCTTTGCATAACGATTATACCACTAAAAGAGTGAAAGCTAATAATAAAAATTAAATGCTAATTTACATTTGACTGCATAATACCACAAAGATAACTTTTTTTTGAAATTACTTACTTAAAATATGACATGGATGAGCAACATTGCAAAAATATCTATTATGAAGAAGTTCAGTACAAGCTAAGCAAGAAAATGGGGAGGAGGAGAAGGAGCAGGGCTTGCTCCGGTGGGACAGGGCTGGTGAATAGGCATGTGCCACAGATGCTAAGGAAGAGAAGTAAACAACAGGATGAACTTTTCTACATAAGGTGGGAAGGAACCCCTGTCCTTAGGAACCAAAAGTACAAAAGAAAGTCCCTCGAAAAAATGACCTACTTTGTGGACTCAGACTGCTTTAGTCACAGCACAGGAACCAGTTCTCATCCTGAAGCGCCTTCTGATCTGTTCTCTGGACAGAGCCTCCTCCCAAATGCAGTAGGGCAAGCACCAGTGCTGGGCATGAAGCATAAATCCTCCGCTTCCTACTGTGTGCATGGCCCACCATGGCTGGCAAACACAAAACAAAGGCAGAACATACTCTCTACAGGATGAAATCCCCATCTTTTAAGCCTACAACAAACCTCTCCTTAACTTCAAGGTGTCACTGCTCAGAGCACCTGCTGCCAACAGCCTGATGCAACACAGCAAACCACTGCCCCGGGCCCATGCCACAAGCCACTGGTGAGGATATCAACCCTTAGTACTCCTGCAAGTGCTCATTTGCATTGCACTAAGAGGCAAACTGCTCTGCTAGTTTCCATAATATAGATGCTAACACAATGCTAAGTGATGGTATACAAGTACTTCCTCCCCCACATTCCACTAGCAAACAAACTTAAAAATACGTAAAAGAATCATCTGACCTTCCTGCTATTTTCCCTTTTCTCTATTTAATTCAAAGGCATTCCAAAAGGAAAACTGATACTTAGAAAATATACCTCCGAGTAACTCCTGCAATTATTTTCAGATAGCCTGGGAACAGCTCAAGAGGGGAGAAGAAAACATCAGATTTGGCAAAACCCAATTTTGCCCCTATCTCCTTCTTATTCTTTGCATGCTATGTCTGTGGCACTGCTTTGCCTTTGGCTGGCAACGTAATGTTGGCAGTACTGCTTCCTTCTTCACTCCAGCGCCACGAGCACTTTGACATCTTCTGGTTGCAATCAAAGCCCACATTGGGGAGCAGACGGATGTGACTGGGAACAGCCTGACAGCACTTTTGATAGCAAAGAAGTCAATGCTGAAGTCAGTTACTGCAACCAGGGCTGTACAGGAGCAGATGAGGCAAGAAAAGGGAAACAACCAGGTGATAAAAGCAAAGGCTGATCTCTTTTCACACAGATAGCAATTGGAATGGAGGCCAGTAACTTAGTTACACCTCCCAGTTCACTCAGTTGCTCAGAGCTCAGCAGAACACCTGTATGAGAACAGTCCTGGTACCCTCATGGACTGCCCAGACTGCAGGCAGTGGAGCTGCACACACCTGGGCCCACAGCCACAGCCACCCACCAAGAGCCACCGCTCCACACACAAGCTAAGAATAGCAGCACTTACTGCTTTGGTAAAGAACTGCATTTGATGCTCTATTATAGCAGCAGAACAATTAGAGCTTACTTTTAAACATTTAAACTTAGAGTTCCTAGGGAATTTGCTCAGTAACATATTCAGTTCTAATGATCTGAGGAGAACAGTCTGATTTGAACTTCTGTAAGTCTCCCCTCTTATTTGCGTGTCCCCAGTGATGCAGCAACTCATACGAACCTTTTAAATAAGGCTAGCAATCATTCATCAGCACCTCACTGCAGTTTTTGCAGGAGCTTTGTTAAGAATTCACATATGCCCAAAGAGACGGTGCCCACACAAACCAGCCTGGACAAGCTGAGCCAGTGAACTTCGGTACGATGCCAGCTGGAGTGACATGGAGGGCCAGGAACGGCCAAGACTTGGAGACAGCAGCAGAAAGAAGCCGCATCCTCAGACCTGCTCCCAGCATCGGGGGGGGAGGGGAGAAGGGGGAGGGGAGGGGGAGTCAGGTGCAAGGACGTGTGCTGCCCTGCAGCTGCTCTGCTGCCAGGGGGTGAGGAGCCACGGCCAAATGCTGCCCTGAGTCCGAGGCTGTTCGTGTTTAGGACTACTACCTGGTCCCGACCAACGCGGTCGAGGCTCGCGAAGGTGCCCCCAGCCCGCCCGCGCTCACAGGTAGGGTGAAGCAGTTACGCACGCACCGAGCCGACGTTCGCCACCAACGGATTTCTGTCCCCGAGCCATAAGCGAGCGCAGTCGCTCCCGGCGGTTCCCCATCTCCGCCGCAACCCCGGTACCAAAAGTCGCCACCCTCAGCCCTCCCGCAGCCGCCGCTCTCCCATCCGCTCCGCGTCTCCCACACGCCCAGGTACGGAGCCGCGGCCGAGACCTCCGCCCGGCACCGCGGGAGCTCCCTCCGCCCCGCAGGCCCGGGACGGCTCCGCCAGGGCACGGCCGATAGGCGCCGAGCGGGACGCCGAGCCGCGGGGCTGCGGAGGCGGAGGAAGGGCCGAAGGGAAGGGCTCCACCTGCCCGCGGCCGTACTCACTCCGCGTAGCCCGTGGTCCAGGGCAGGCGCCGCGTCTCCTTGCTGAGGATGAGGATGGGGCGGGCGATGTGGTCGGCGGAGCACTCGACCTCGTCCGGGGACAGTCCCAGGAACTCGGGTCTCCCGTAGGGGAAGCGCAGCGGCAGGTCCGCGCCGCCGCCGTGCTCGGCGCCCGCGCTGCCAGCCATGATGCCGCCCATGAAATTGGCCACGGCGGACTTCACCCGCGTGAGCATAGTACCGCCGCCGCGCAGCGCGGGGAGCGGCGCACCGGCGGCGGCCCCGCCGAGCTTCCGCAACGGGGGCCGGGCCGGGCCGGGGCGCGCGGTCTCAGCGTGCGCGGGGCCGCGGGCTCATTGCGGCAGCGGCAGGTCCCCCCCCCGCCTCCCGGCGCGGCGCCGGCTGAACTCAGCCCGGCGGCGGCTGCTGAGTCATGTGACAGCGCGGCGGGATGCGCCCGGGCGCTTCCTGCTCCTCCTGCGGCGCCCGCGGGCTCCGGGCGCACGCCGGGCACGGGCCGCCCCCACCCTCCTCCCGCCCGCCTCCCGCGGCGGGGGCGGCCCGCGGCAGGTGCGCGGCGGGCGGGGCCGCTCTGCTGCCGGCGGCGGCGCGCAGGGGCCGGGGGTGGGGACGGGCGGGCGGACTGTTACCTGCGGGCTAAGCGCCTCCGTCCCCTCCCTGAACACGCCGAGGTGATTTATCTGCAGAAAGGCTTCGCTGTGAAAAAGAGGTGTGGGGGCGGAACGAGGCCTAAAGCGAGTCCTGCAGCCGCCCGCCGGCAGGTCCCCATCCCGTCCCCGGGGTTCGCGTCTGCAAGGATGCTGTGCAGCCCCCGGGACTATCTCGTGCACAGCCAGGTGCTCGGGATGCTGTCGCAAGAGAATACTCATGAAGGGCAAGCCTGGACGTTTTCAACTGTGAGAGGACACAGAAGTTGTAAGCCCTTCTTGCTTAGCTGTGCCCTATTGACAGCATCGTGTTTGTTCACCTAACCCTTAGCAGACCTGCTGCCGGTGGAGGCCACCCAAATGTATGGAAAAGTTGCAGGGTTGGGTGTGCCAAGCTTTGGGAAATAAGGGCAAGAAGAAGTCAGCAAGAGCATTCAGAAAGTCTGTCCCCTGCAGCGTGGCTGCATATGTGCCCCATTACATCACAGTGCTCTTGAGAGCTGTAAGTGATCCCAAGGCAGTGCGACCTGCGAGCTGAGATGCAGTAGGCACAGCTGGCTGTGAGGGTGGCACCACAGTGGTGCTGAGCAGGGAGACGAAGGTTTGTCACAGCAGGGCTGGTGGGAGGATCAGCTGCTGCCACGTCGGCTCCTGCCAGAACCAGCCTGTACATGCCGAGTGCAGGCACAGGGTGGGGGCTGAGCTCTGTGACTTCCTTCCATCGCTGGTTATTAATCAACATCCCGATAGCTGAGTTTCAGTGGGGTCCCGATGCTTTGTGTATGGACATGAGGAGAGCAAGGCTGTGCAATAATTCCCAGCCTCTGCAACAGAGCTGTCTGTGAATGAATTTAAAGAACCAGGAGGAGACCAGTGAACATGGATACAACCAGTGTGTCCCATGCTACTTGAAGGAGAGTTGGGCAAATATTCACTCCAAATTAATCATCGAAGATACACACGTTGGTTTGGGAGGCTGGAGGCTATGTTTCAGATCTTTGCTTTAACACTTTCCAAGACTGAGTGATATTCTGAGGAAAAGTAAATCTCTCCTAGATAAAAAAAAAATGATTGACATTAATAACTCAAGCTTTCTGTTTGTTTTGCTTTGTTTCCTGGTTGTATTGCAACACTTTACTTTAAAATAAAAGAAATAAGAAAAAAACTAAAGACTTGTTAAAACGTGGTTGGGATCCTTTATCTGGGGGCTGTAACAGGCAGCTATTCATCCTCATCCATATGTTACAGAGGAAGGCAACTCTGAGGTGACCAGAAGCCCTTGGGCTGCTCTCTTAACTGGCCAGTGCCCAGTCCAGCTCCCTGCCAGGCCCTCATGCCTGAGGATAACCTCTTTCATGTCTGCTGGATGGTTTTCCCTAGTGCCATCCAGACTGTTGTCTGAGGGAGGCAGGAGTGACAAGAGGGACGTGAGCAGAACTGAATATGTGCCCTGAGGAGGCTCCTAATTTCTGTGTAAAAGTATAGCTCCTTTCAGCTTATCACACATACTCCTGGATAAGCTGTGCCAGCTGAATTATGCAGTATGTTAACCCACGACCTCAACAAATACCACTGACAAGAGCTCCAGGAGGATGAGAGTTTGTACTCCTGCCCCACCTGTGGTCACCGTTTTGTGCAAAATGTGAGGGAGAAGTGCAAGGGAATATATATGGGCTTGTTAGAGTTTAACTGATTAACTCTGCAAGATGACAAGGAAAAGCTCAGGTGAGACATATGGGGAGACAGCTTAACAGCTCACCGCTCAAAACAGATCTGTATGCTGCTTGAAATTCTGCGGCTGTTTACCTCTGACATGAGAATGCCGTGTGGATGAAGCAGATACAGTGTGACCTTTTCATCCTGAGCATGTAAAGATGCTTGGGTTTCATTTCTCTTTGAGGAAAGAGGATGCCGTTGCTTCACTTCTGACCCCAAGGTGAAGCCCCGCTGCTGGCAAGGAGTGGGCCCAGCAGCTGGCCTGGCCAGGCCCTGCCACACCTGGGAAGCTTTCAGTATCCATGGATGCAGGTAGCACAGCCCTTCTGGGTGCTTGTTAAAGGACTGTAACAAACTTGGCTTTAAAAGCCAAAAACATTTGTGATAATTTCCACGTGGGCTTTGGTTCTGGCTTTGAGTGTATGGAGTGCTTGAGAAGGAGATATACCGAGTGAGGTAGCTGGGCTAATGAAGGTGAATTGAGTCAATGTGTTTACATGTTTTCTGATGACACAGAATGTGTTTATTTTACAGAACATGCAGTACTTGGGGCACTGTCTTGTGAATGGCACCCTACTATGCAAGCCATTGAATATAGAATCATAGAATTGCTCAGGTTGGAAAAGATCTTAAAGATCATCAAGTCCAACCACAACCTAACCATACTACCTAACAACCCTCTGTTGAATCATGTCTCTGAGCACCACATCCAAAGAGTTTTTAAACACATCCAGGGATGGTGACTCAACCACCTCCCTGGGGAGCCTATTCCAGTGCTTAACCACCCTTTCTGTAAAGAAGTTTTTCCTGATATTCAATGCAAACCTTCCCTGGTGCAATTTGAGGCCATAAGTTCATGTTTCTAATGAAGAAAGGACTATGGAACTTATTCCAGCAGTGTGGTTCTTCTTTGCTTGTACATTGTTTATGCCTAATGTCGCTTGCTTGCTTTAGTTTGTGTTTACTGTGCTTTTTATGCTGTGATTAAAAACAATGGGAAAACTCCCAGGGACTTCTCAAATACTCTGAAAGCAGAAATAGGTCTGATGTGAGATAAAGCATTTCTGTTGGCAAGAACTTCTGTATTGTTGGTATTATTACCTTTGTACAGAGTTATCCACAGGTGTAAACTATGCTGCTGGCTTACTTCTGAGCATGTGTCAGAAAAGGTGTCTGACATTCAGCAGGAAAAAAACAGTTTGTTTTTTGATTTTTTTTTTATTTTTTATTTTTTATTTTTTTCTTCAGGTAATCCATCAAATGAAAAACACTTGAAGCTTTATTTTTGCACGTGACTCTGCTTAGGACGATCACTGTGTCATGTATTGATAAATGAAATTATTCTTACCTCTTCAAAAGTACCGTGCAATCCTTAATCAGCCTGAGGAAGCACTTTACCCCTGGAGAATGACCCTGCAGAACCACACAACGCCTGAGGCATCACTGATGTGGAGGTGAAAATGCCTCTTAAGCCTCTTATTAAGACATCAGTCCTACTCTTGGCAGGTCACAAGCAAGAGCACCAAGTAAATTTAAAAATAAATAGCAGTACTTGGAGTGATGTATTTCCTCTGCCATAGTTGATTTCTACTCCATCATCCTCTAGTCAATATTTATGTCACACTTGATATTTCCATTTGAGAGATGTCTGGGGCTGAAGGTCAGAGAGTGTCTCCATCAGAACATAGTCAGTGTGATGGTCCCACAGCTTTGAGACCCGACCCAGTCCCCACAGAACACAACACGGGAAGTCCTGCTGAAGGCCGAACAAATTCTCAAAATGGCATCAGGGCCAAAACTACAAGTATCTTATTCTTAAGCACAAAGCATAGGTCAAATTCTTAATTTTCCATTGCTGCCTTAACTACAGTGTGACCAAAACCAGTATGTATTTATGCTTGCCAAGCAGCAGCAGCTGTAGCTGGGCTCACCTTTCATAGCATGGTGTGTTTCACCTGCAGGTCCATCTCTGAGCACCACTCATCTCAAGAGACTTGCCAGAGGTCAGAGTGGGTTGTAGGGATGAAGAGGATAAGAAAACATCCAAAGTTTCTTTTAGACTAGGGACAAAGTAGGGATAAAGCTGTCAAATGCATGAGTTTTCTGCTGGCAGGCAACGTGGTTGTGCCAGTGGCCCTAGCACATAGGAGTTTGAGCATGCAAGTGTAGATCTCTGTCATTGCCCTTCCGTTACTCAAAACTAGGCTATGTAGTTGTGTGGTGAAAACATTCATGCCAGAAAAGTGTCTTCATGTCTCTTCTCATGATGGAGAGCTAATAAATGCAAACTTCTGGGCTGTGTGAAAGCAGCCCTGGTTTAGATATTTGAGCAGGAAAAAGGCCCTGAAGAGGGGTCTTAATTGACAGATGATCACAGTAAATCACAGACCTTCTAAGGCTTACTATCTGTATAAATATAAATACATGCTTCAATATAAGCAGTCCATAAACCTGTAGGAGTACCATGTTTGCCAAAAACCACAGAATGACTTTTTTCTGCATGAATCCGTGTGCAAGTATCCTGAACAATAATCATCTGATTTCACAACAAACATCGTCATCAACATTTTGCTCCCACAGCCTCCCCTTACGTTCCATTATCTGCTCCCTTTTAATGTCTGTAGCTAAATCTGCTAATAATGGGATGCACTGGGGATTAGCTTGTTTATGTGCTCCTGTTGTCGGTTTTTCATAGCGGAGATGGAACAAAATGATTATATCTTCTCTTGTGCTCCTTTGCCCTGATTTCTATGAAAGTACATCTTGCTCTGATGATTGCATGAGCTGCTTCAAAATGTCAGCGATGGCAATGCTTTTGTTGACAGCCTCAGCAAAAATAAAGAAAAAAACCC